CTACATGCTTATCTCCCACCTCCTCCACTAGCTGATCATATAGTCGTACGTAGAAGTTTGCATCTTTCTTCGTCCTTGATACGTCTCTACTAGACAAAAAAGTTGTACCGTTTGGGGAATAGGCCAAGAAGTTTACAAACTCTTTTTTGCTAACTTTATTCAACCAACCATCACTCATGAGAGTAATGCATGTTCTTGGCCAACTCTGTTTATATTCTTCAATCCACTTTCTAACTTCCTCCATCTCTTCATCCAATATTGGCCCACTGAGCTCATATGCCATCGGGGGTTTTACGCCGAGCCCGGCTCTCTGGATTGCGTTGACCATAGGGGGAAAATATGGGTTATTGGCTGAATCAAAGGGGATCTCTTTATCGTAGAACCATTTACCAACATATCTCTCCAATATGTTTTTCGTACCTTTCACCATGTCTTTGAGGGTCATCTGTTCTGACTTAGGCTTTGATAGAAATGGGTCTATATGACCATGACCTGCAATACAGGCACTCCTAGATAAGCTAAAAACAATTTCTTCAACGTCTGATTCCTCTTGATACATATTGTCATCAATCCCTCCATACATATTTGAGCTGGGCCCGCCATACATGCTCGAGTTGGGCCCACAATGCATGTCTGAGCTAGGCCCACCATGCATGCCCATGTCATAACCACTAGGCATTCTAAACCCGCATTTCCTATGGTATGTTTCATGTAAACTCATTCTTGTGGCCATCTCTAAGTCATTATTATATTGCTCTTATGGATCATTCTCGCTTGATGGCGTATATAAACTAGCTATCTCTTCAACCATCATCTGCTTTGCAATTGTTTTACCTGTGGTAGCTTTGAGAAATGCCGCCATCTGCTTTCTTACATTATTAGGGACACTATTGTACGCTGAAACATCTCCCTTAATGCCTGCCAAGTGTTGTTTGAACCTATGTACCCCACTACTTATCACTCTTTGGCAGTAATTACAAATAATTTTGTTTTTTTAATTGGGATCAAGTCTTGACCCCATGTTGCCATGTAGGGTCTTCCGCAGATCTTGCCATGGTTCAACTTTAATATGTAGAAGGTTAAAAATTAACCTGATAGTTCAACATGAAAAATAATCACCATGTGTAGTGATAATACGTAGGGGTAGTTCATGAAGTTATATTTGTTGTTAATGCAAAATACTTCTATTAACAAAAATATTTTAATTCCTACTGGGAAAAATAATTTATTTATGCAACATTATAGATAAAAATAGCCTATATCAGCTGCTACATATAGAACAAAAAATTTACACTGATATAGTATCAATAAAAAATATATTTACAATAGTATAGTAATTCACAATGCCAATGCATATGGACTTGTCACAAATCTTCGTTTCGACAAACATGAATTAGTTCCTACTGAGAAAAAAAAATATTTATGCAACATTATAGATAAAAAAAAGTCTGTATAAGTCACACTTAGAATCAAGAAAAAAATTATATTAATATAGTCATCCATAATGCCACTACAAGTATATTTGACACAAAAAACATTTACAATGATATAGTCATTCACAATGCCACAAATAAAATTTACAATGATATAGTCGGCACAATCCCAACTCGATTGAAATGATCACAAATAGCCATACATCTCAATTACAAATATGCAAGATAATATAATAAAAAATGCAAGCTCCAAACATGGCTATAACTCAATTATCAAGAACATACATTTTTTGCATTAAAAATTTAATAAATATTTGAAAATTGCAAGATAATATAATTATCATACATGCCACGATTTTTTTACAATGATATTCACTTTAATTCTTCATGATAATACAGTTTAACAACATGTATTTTTGCATTAAAAATTTAAAAAGTTAAAAATACATTTTTAATGCAAAACTGTATTAAAATATATTACAGTTTAACAACAAGTATTTGTTAATGTATTTTTTTGCATGAACAACAAATTAAAAAATGCAGTTTTGCATTAAAAACATAATAACATGCCACGATTATTTTACAATGATATTCACTTTAATTACTCATGATAATACAGTTTAACCTGTATTTTTTGCATTAAAAATTTAAAAAATTAAAAATGCATTTTAAATGCAAAACTGCATTAAAAATATAATAAAGTTTAACAACATGTATTTGTTAATGTATTTTTTTGCATTAACAACAAATTAAAAAATACAATTTTGCATTAAAAATATAATAACATGTATTTTTTTGCATAAATAATCTATCAACATGCAATTTTTTGAACTAAAAATTTAACAATAAAAATTTAAAAAATTGTTTAATTCTCTTGATAATAAAAAATTGGTCACAATTTTCGAAAAATCAAGATTTTTCAAAAAAATTGATCATGAATTAAAAATAAAAAATAAAAATGCAGTTCTTCACAGACCCACCTAACATCAGTCATTCCAACTAAAAAATCCGCCTCAAATCGAATAAATTACATCAAATTGAATACATGTTTTGCTAAACAACACTATAAGGAATCAAAGCCCTATACTATTAACACATTATTATC